AGATAGATAGAGAGAGAGAGAGAGAGAGAGAGAGAGAGAGAGAGAGAGAGAGAGAGAGAGAGAGAGAGAGACGGATGGAGATGAAGGGAAAGAATTTCGTATTGTTTTGCATTTATCAATTTTGCTACATGGGCACATATCTACATATAACATATATATATATATATTTTTTTCTCTCTCTCTGTACATATATATATATATATGTATGTATATATATATATATTCAGAACCTGTTATCACAAAGTGTACACAAAACATATATACAATTAGTATATATGAAAAACATCTCTAACAACCAGTTCAAAAATTCCAACCATTTATCACAAAGTTCAAAATTACAACCAGTTCGAACAAGTTATCAGAAATAGTTCAAAATTACAACCTGTTCTCACAACCAGTTCGAACAACAAGTTTGAACAACCGGTTCGAACAACCAGTTCAAAATTACAACCAGTTCGAACAACCAGTTCGAACAACGAGTTATCACAATCAGTTATCACAACCAGTTCAAAATTACAACCAGTTCTCACAACCAGTTCTCACAACCAGTTCTCACAACCATTTCTCACACACAGTTCTCACAACCAATTATCACAACCAGTTGAAAATTACAATCACAACCAGTTTTCACAACCAGTTCAAATCGAGGACATAACATTCTAATGATTATGACGACGACAATGGGCATCGATATAGTACGTGACACTGTCACTCTTGCGCAACGGACACCTCCTGCGAAAGAACGGCGCCGTCAAAGTCGAGGCGGTGAGCGGCACCATCGGTGTCGGAGTCAGAAGACGATTTTTCGTCATCTGAAGCACCTTGGCTTCCCGCCTCAACGTAAACATCGTCACCTTCGGCCACAACACCCTCCACCGCACTCTCAACGACATCAGGGAGTCCATAATCGGCTTCCTCATCATAATGCTCAATAACTGGGTCGTCGGCGTCCGATTGCTGCAACATGTTACGTGCCCAATCCCTGACCCGAGGGCTGCCAAAAACTGCAGTTGCAATGTCAAAGCGCCATGACGTATCCCGTGCGGCGTATATATGTTGTCGTGCGGAACGACGTCGATGGGTTACGTTTGCTGGTTTGTGGAAGACCGTTCGCAATCACCTGATTCGTTTGTTTTTGTTCCACTCCAAAGCGGTGCAACACACACGCGCCTCATACGACTTGGGGAAGTTCAAGCGTTTCGTTGCGTACTTGTTGATCACGGAGTGGAAGCACTGGTTGTTGAAGGTCATCCCCGCACGTGTGTAGTACGCCATCTTCGTATTCGAAGCGAACTGTTGAAGACAGCGTGCGACGGCAAAATGAACACGCCCCCCCGCCTCGGACAATGGATCCCTGTCCGGACCCCCAGCCGCTTGGCACAGGTTGGACAACTCCTTATCGCAACAGGAGTGATCCCCGGCCCAATGATCGGCGAGGTATTGCACATGCGTGACGAACAGATCACTACCGTCATCCTTTGCGCGCTCGCGCAGCCTGCAAGCGCCGTACAACCACTCCTTCGCCTCCTCTGCCGCATTGCAATGCAGTGTTTGCAACACACCGATCTCGACGACATCATCTCGCAATGCTTTCCCTGCTTCGTCAGGGAAGAGCACGCCCCAAACAATCTCAATGAGTTCATCTTTTTTTCTCGTGGACACCCCTGCCACGTGTACACATTTCGATTCGAGCCAAAGTTCGAGCTCCTTCTTTGTGAAACACTTCACCTCGCGCACATGCTTGCAAGCCCCGACTGCAGTTGGTTTGAGAGTCTTCGTGACGCGCACAGCCTCTCGCAAGCGTTTGACCAAAGTCTTCGCCTTATGCCACATACACTTTTGTGAGTCAATGTTCATTCGCCGCAATATGACGTCAACCGCGCCACAATCATCATGCACAACCTCTGCGATTATGAGGTTCTTCTCGTCCTTCAACCGATGTAGCAGTTTCTCAACACACTGCGTCTCCAGCTTCCATGACGACTCGTTCCCCCGGAGCATGGTCTCCGTCCCCACGATCATTCCTGACTTTAAATCCACCGCCGTCACCGTACAATGCTGAGCGTCACGAGACCATTCGTAACGCCCATCAACCAAGACGGCGGCCGGATCGTTCGACCTACGCAATCGCTCGATGACCTTGTCGAAGCTCTTTTTAGTAGCCCGTTCGACGTGTCGCAGCCATTGTCAGGAACCTGGGCCGTCATCACAAAAAAAATTATAGAAAGTTTATTTCCTGACCTTCCTTATCCCTAAGCCCCGCAGAAGGTTATTCAATTGAGTGTAAGTCATTCCCGCAGTCAAAGTGGAGTGGAACAATTGAGTCTCAACCCTCGAATTTCTCACCCCGCCCGGTGAAACAACCTTCGTGGAACTTCAGTGCCATGTGCACCCTTTCCCGCACTCCAATTGCAACTTGCAAATGTGACATGGATAATGGATCTTCTTGATCGTCACCTCAACGTATTTCCCGTGCCGAGGACACGTTTGCTCGAACATCCTGAGAATCTGAAAAAGTTTGACCGGCTCAATGAAAACGACATCAGGTCGTGCTTTAGCATTCCACATGACCATTTGGTCCCTCACGCTCAATCGTTCAAACATCGGACCATTATCCGAATATCCTGGCTTGCCGTCGCGCCATTTCAATGCTTCACTGCGAGGTCTGCCACCTCGCGACTTTAGTGTCGCCGTTGCGTCCGATCCTTGTTCGCATGAACCCCCATGGCCAGACGATTGTTCGCCGGGCCCGTACTTTGACATCAACTCATCAATGTGAACGGAACTCCACTCCATGAGCTGATCGAACACGTCCTCGTACGAACAATGTTTTTTCTTCTTATCTTTGAAGCCTCGAGTGCGAGTCGACAACTTCTTCCCCATCGCCTTCGCAATCTCACCCAAGCGTTTTTTTTTATCAAGTCTACATCGCACCCAGTGAGGCTTGCCTTCACGAGGTGTACTGGACCTCGTACGGGGCGATCGAGGCGAGAAACTCATCCCAGCCTTGCTATCACCAGTCGGGGAAAGAACATCGTGTGCACGGTTGCTGGAAACCGGAGTGCATGATGTCGGTTGCACTACTTCGATCGATGAACGTGTCTCTTCTGTTCAACGAACAGGATCCGACGCAAAGACACTCGCAACGGGAACCGCGCCGGAGTTGTCATGGCCCGAACACGGGAACGACCGCGGCAAACCAAATGGATGCGCGGCGTCTGAACGACTTTGTTGAACACCGCACATGCTCTGACTTCCGGAGCAAGGCGTCGGCAACATCGCTGCGAGAGAGCCCATGGGTGAAGAAAATGGAGGACGAGAAGAAAGCACAGCGGATTGCGCAAACGAGGACGTTGAGGGATCGCCAACAAAAGTGGGGAGAGTCGGGATTGCAGCAATGGCTGCACGCATGTGACTCAGGAGAGGAGTTTGTGTGACATTTGTCGAATTCAGCAAAGGAGGGAACGGCAGAACGACCATTCTGTCATCCAAACGCTGCCTGGTTGTAAGTCTCTCCAATATACAATCCGTTTGAGTGCGTCCGCGTGGATCCAAAAGACCTCTCCCTCGACCGCGTGAAATATCATGGTACACCGGAGAACCTTGCAAAGAAGAAAGAGCGCATGACGCGGATGGAGATGGAGAGAGAGGAGTAGGAAGCAACGGGGATTTCGGCGACAGCGGCAGAGCTGCATGAGGTTGTTCGCGGTCCACGTTGATGCCCCTGCTTTATGGATGCGGAAGGGCAGATGCACCTGCACACGAGAAAGCACAGTACCACGGATCACGATGTGCGTCCAAACACAATATATATATATATATATATATATATATATATATATATATATATATATATGTATATATACTTATTTCGGAGCAATTTGGAAGCTACCTTTCTTAACATTTTTTTTTTGACGTCAATTTGGAAACTATCTTTCTCAATATTTTATTTATCCTGAATTTTTATTTTTCTGAGTTCTCTGTTATGTAAGCTACGTTTCTCTCAGTTTGGAAGTCAATCTGCAGAGCAAAAAAATAATGAAAAATCGGCAAAGATGGTGGTCTCAAAACTTGCTTTCCGAATTACAAATTTGTTTGTTTTCTCTTTTCACTTTTCGTTTTCCCTTTATTTTAGGGCCTGATAAAAAATTTCTTTTTTTCTAACTTTATTTGTAGGTTGTCTATTATGTAAGATACATATGTGTAAAATTTCATGTCATTTCACAAAGCCAAAAAAAATTGAAAAATCGCAAAAGATGGCGGTGTCAAAAACTTGCTAGCCCACGCAAGAATATCATTTTCGTTTTTTGTTTTTTACTTTCAAATTAATTTTATTTTTTTCGTTTTTTTTTTTTAGTTCAAATTTGGTAAGGAATTTGGAAAATTTTTAGTTTATTCTTCTGCATAAGAAATTTTATTTCTCACAATGTTTTTGGAAACTTTTTTTTTTTTTTTTTTTTTTTTTTTTGGTTTTTCGTTCGGCCCAACGTCCGAATGCGTCGATAGGGGGTCCCATACCTTCGGCCGTTCGGGTTCGGTTGCCAAGGGCCCATCCCGAACGCCGGTACCTATATTTATATATATATATATATATATATGTATATATACATATATGTCACAGCCCCTCGTTCGTTGTCCTCTTCTCTCTCTTTGCCTACGGTTTACCGGGCAGTTCTGTTTGTGACGATATATATATATATATATATATATATATATATATATATATATATAGATAGATAGATAGATAGATAGATAGATAGATATATATGACGAAAGAAAGGGATTAAAATTTTCAACCGGGTGGTATTTTGACAATCACGAATTTGATCTGGGTTCATTGCAATACTATATATATATATATATATATACCGTCACAAACAGAATTGGCCGGTAAATCATAGGCAGAGAGAGAGAAGAGGACAACAAACAACGGGCTGTGACAAACTGTATATATATATATATATATATATATATGTTTTCATTTATTTTTTTTTCTTCTGCCCAAAGACAGGAAAAAAATAAATTGAACAGGGTTGTTTTTTTTTTTACCATCGTGTTCATGATATGGGTTCAGTTTGTCGAGTCAGTTTGTCGACGGTTCAGCCTCTTTATGAGTCCGTCAAACTCCAACGAAACTGTTTCTCACACATCTCATCGTTTGTTGTCTTCTTTTCTCCCTTTCTGCTAACGATTTACCGGGCACTTATGTTTGTGACTATAAATATATATATATATATATATATATATATATACATATATTCAGCCACCTCATGAGTCGGTGAAACTTCGATGAAACATTTTGTCACAGCCACTCGTTAGTTGTCCTCTTCTCACTCTCTGCCCACGGTTTACCGGGCAGTTATATATATATATATATATATATATATATATATATATATATATATCGTCACAAACAGAACTGCCCAGTAAAACCGTAGGCAGAGAGAGAGAGAGGACAACAAACGAGGGGCTGTGACAAACTGT